TAATGCTCCTCATTCAGCCCCAGGGAAGGATGCTGAGGAAAAAAAAAAACCAACCCTCATTTTCTTTGGTCACGGTATTGTCCCCACCAAGTGGGAAAGCTGCTTTGCCTGGGAGGCGAGCTTGCACACCTCCAGGGAGAGGGGCATAAAGCTGGCTCTGACTCCTCTTTTTTTTTGCATTCATCCCAGTTACAGTAAATACTTGTGTGCCCTACAATCATGCCAGCAATTTCACCCACATCCCATACATTTCACTTGGAAAATTTTTTTCCTTAAGTTGGGGGGGGGGAAATTCTAAACAAAATGGTGTTTGTAAACTTGGGGGAGGAAGGTCGATAATTTTGGCGGTCTTAGCTTCCAAGCAGAGAGAAATGTTATTCATCCATGCACAACATATAATTCAGCCTAAGTGACAGGCTCTGCTCTGGAGAAATCCTGGCCTGAGCTGGCTTCCAGAGTCAATTACCGCTTATTCCCAGGGAGGCGGGGGGCGGGGGGCCAGACAGAGCAGAGGGGGCTGCCAACAAGGCATGGGGAAATTTACTCTGTGTCAGCCTGCATGACACAGTACCTCATTTGTGGATAAATGTAAATCTGCTAGTTCTTTTTCACAGGCACTAAAATGTACAGTCTTTCCTACCCCTCCCCTCCCCCCGTTCCCAAAACTGGAAAAGAAATCAGGACCGTCTCAGAAAGCTACCTTATATTTCAATCAATCCTCTTTCATAAAAGTCATTTAAGGTAAATACCTGTGCAGACCTATGGCCCAACTATAACATTTACTATGGCCCAAATCCTGAATTCCTCACTCAGGCAAGTTTCCCACTGGACTTAATGGATTCTTGCTTGGAAAAGAGCTGAGTAAAACCTGAACACTGTCTAAGGATTTGGTTCCCTGCTTATCTGCCTGGAGCACTGCTGCAGTTCCAGAAGAAGTGAAAAAAATGAATTAAATTCCTCCAAAATAGCAATCCTCAAAATTTAAGGGGTAAAAAAGGGCATTGTTTTTGTGCATAGAACGTACAGAGAATCTCGTCAAAAGTGTAATTCCCAGGGAAAGGATTTAGAAAAAGTCAAAAGAGAACATCTCTGAATAAATGAAGTACTTATTGCTGAAAAATGAGCTCAGATATATCTCAGCAAACTCTAAAGCTCAGAATTTACTGCATCATTCATGCCTTCTCCAGTAAGTTTCTTATCTCTCGTTTGGTATCACAACAAGGGATTCTGCATACTCTGTATGAAATACAACAAGACTGTGATTTTTGCAGTAATAAACTCTACACATGCATGACAAATCTAAGCATGCAAAATGTTTAACATCCCAGTTCACAGATACTTTGGGGACAAAATCCGATTATGAGTTATATACCACAATAAATAGGGCTCAACGTTTCATAAAGCAATTTATAGTTCATAAAAATGACAAAATGTACCTGTCAGATAGAACGCGAAGAGCAGATCTCTGTGCTGCCTGCTGGAAGAAAGGGCAGAGATGTTTATTTTATATTCTGACTTGAAAATTACGAGCACAATCAACACTTTAAAAAATGCGTTACACACATTTTTGTCACGTGTCCAAAATGTTAAAGTACTAGCAAAGTAGCAGCGAGCCTATAGTCAAATGGACATTCCAGCCTAGTAAATGTAAGAACACTTTGTTAAGTATGCCATAAACCAAAAGATTGTCAAAGCACTGCACAGTATTTGAGGTCTGAACTACTCTATTTAGATGGTTTTTTTCTGCAGGTCCCTGAAAACTCGGCAGAGCTCGGCTCCCTGCCTTCCCCTCTCCCCGCTTCCGCACTCCCACTCCCTCTCCTTTACCATTAGTCTCCTCCCATTCTTCCACAGAAACAAACATCACATATTTGGTTCTTTTTGCGATGAAGCCCGTAGCTATAATTATAAATTTTGCAGGGCTTGCCAGAGGTGCTGCAGGCTTTTCATGAGCGCTGCCATGTTACTCTGCTGGCAACTTTTGACTATACAGTGCAGGATTGACCTGTTGCTGTTTCCTCCTCAGTTTTTGCCTAGGTCAACTTTTTGGATGGGGTGAGGAAACATGGTGCTTTTTCTTGCGTTAACCAGAAGTCCTGGGAATAGAAATCATAGCCTCTCAAGTTTAATAGGACTCCCAAGCCTATCCCTGAGCTAGTCTGCCACTTTATTATTATTATTCTTTCCCCTCCTTCAATCACTTCAAGTGGTGTGATTCATGGCTTCGGCACAGTAACCAGCTGCTAAGCAAAGATGAAATCCATAATGTTTTGAAAATCTACTTTAAAGCCTCTGTTCTATTTGAAGCTGCCCGGAGTGTCCCCTTCCCACCTCCACCTGTCCAGGCTATGCCTCACCTGGCACAGAAGGGACACAAAGCTACGCAGGATGGAGAGTCAAGGGGCAGGGAATTAAGCATTGATTTTTTCTTTGCGGTTATCATTAAATATGTTTTTGAAATCGTTTTCCCTGGCTTCTCAGGCTGCTGGGGGCTATATCCCTACTCCCGAAAAAGCCACACAGCTTGCAGTCATCCCACTGAGCACCAGAGAGCATGGAGGTAACCCTTCTGGCTGGTCAAAATGCTGCTGACAGGCTGCAAAGAAAAACTTGATAAAAAGTGACTTGCAGTTGCAGTTATGGAGCCTTTCACAGAAAGGTGTGAAAAGATCCCAAGTGGATCTGACAGGAGTGCAGAAATGCTTTGGGAAGGGTATCTACTTGTTTTTGGAAGCAGGGTTACTGCTCAGGGAACTTTCTGTAATAACTTGGACCTCTTGGGTTCCCTGGGGAGAAGTTGTTTGCTGTGTATCACACACCAAACTGTTAGGAGACAAGGGCTATGCCGCATCCCCTGTGGCTGGCATGACTCATAGGAGGAATTTTTCCTTAGCACTGACCTTCTGCAGTGGGAGTGTGCCCATGGCATGGACACGCCAGTTTCAATGTTAGGAAAATAATATGAGTCTGGCATTTTTCACTGTCTCCAGCAGGTCATCCTATTTTTACACAGTTTGGATATACAACCCTGTCCACGCCATCCCTGCTGCTGGGTGCAGGGCAGGCTTTCAGGGGAGCAGCCACTCTCTGGTCCAGAGGGCTGGCACCATTTTTGCTCTCTGCTCCACAAGGGGCTCGTTATGACAATTTCATCCCACTTCTTGCACGCAAACACAGGAGAAACCCTAACCTAAGCTTTAAGAATGTCTTATGGCTTATTCTCTTCTATAATGCCCTCAGCCAACACAAGTTCATCTCCCTCCATGTCAACCACCTTCACTAGCAGGAAGCTATGGCCATTTTGAGTTTCAAGCTGCCTGGCTTCGATGCTGACCCCTGAGCTGTGTTACGCCTTTGCCTGCAAATTTCAGTAGCCTCCTCTCACTATCAGAGCCCTTTTCCACAGTCAAGTTGTGCTGACACCATTCAGGTCACCTCTCCTTCTTTCCCACCAGCAGCCAGGACTCGTCTGTCCCTCACAAGCAGCCACTACGTGGCAGTGCTGTTCAAGCCACTTTTAACGTTTCCCCCTCTTGGCTCTGGCCACCACAGGTGCTCATGTGGTTGTGCAATGCAGCAGGTTGGAAAACCGATCCAGCTGAAAAATAACACCTTTCCTTTTCTTTTTTTTTTTTTTTATTCCTTTCTTTTTCCCCTGGTTATTTGTAAGCTGGATCCCTTTTCTGAGCTGCTTCCCCAGGGGAAGGATGTCACATCTCAGGGTAAGAATGGGCATAGGATGATGGGGACAGCATGCAGCGGAAACTCTTACTGCTGAGATAAGGGCATGTCCACTAGAGAGTTCACTTTCACTTGACATCACTCTCACTCCCTTTTGGGGAGCTGCACAACACTCCTGGAGCAACCTATGTGGTGGCTGCAGTAGCCAGAAGGCACTGAAGGAGACAGGCTGCCCTGTAGTCACAGTCCTCATCTACCTTATAGAGACTGCAAGAAAGCAAACATGGACTTTGGTGACACTAAAATCCCCTAACCTGGGGATATAGTGTGTGTATCACTCTTGTATTTCCCTAAAATCCCTAATTTTGAGAGAAGGAGAAGAGTTGGATACTTTCTCTTCCAGTTTCGATGAAAGCTGCCCTCAGGAGGGAAGAGGAGAGGACTTTCACCAGTGCTAACCAAGCCAGCCCACATGGTCTAGGACTGCAGCCTCAGGTGCCAATCTTGGGTTTCCACCTTGGTACATCCTATTGTGGACAGCTTTGAAAAGGTGATCCATTCTGGGAAAGAAAGTGGGTTCAGATGACAAGCAGGGCAGCAGAGACAGATGCGGAAGTGCTTTTCAGAGAGACCATGCTAATTTTTCAATTAGCTTCTCATTTTAAGTCCTTTAATAAATGTCCTTCTTCACTGGAGTGCAATGCAGATTGCATGCAGCACCTCGCTTTTTGCTTGGTGGTCGCATATTCTATAAATGAGACTATTGATTTCTGTCTCGCCGTTTGAAAATACAACCGTGTTTGATTGCATATTTGTGTGACCCCCTGAGTTGGTAATGGCCCCATTTCTAAATGATGGGGAAATAAGATCCAGTCGCAAGTATATTCTCCTCCCTGGAGAAACACATCTATTGCCTGCAATGAAAGGCAGTTAGCAACTATCCAGCAATTTTAATTCTAGCCTATATTGTTCCCCTCTCCTGGAAAAAGTGAGCTGTTGTAATTAAAAGTAGTTAGCAGTTCCCTAGCAAGTATAAATACTCACAGCCACTAATTACAATCTGCTCTCTTGTTCCCCTGCTAGAGGACTGGGCTGCTCAACTTAGGGGGAAATATCTGCCCTTGCTTCTCACTAACAGTTTTTTTGTGACCCCATTCAAGCTTATTCATGAATCCCCATGGAGGGTCACGACCCATAGTTTGAGAAACTCCTAGCCAGAGAAACAGCTTTCTGTGATTTATTATGTTTCTAATACGCTGGTATTATCTATGTAACAATGTAAGCAAAAGAGTGGTATTTAGTATCATATACTGCCTGCATGACTATTTTTTTAATAGCTTGATTTTGATTGTGCTATTTAATTTGCATTTTACTTTACAGGGTTAACAACTTTACTGAGGCCAACTCATCATCTATCAAGAAAGATGAGAATATGTTCTACAGTCTTTGTTAGTCCTGGAAGTAAGTGACCATGCTGGTTAAAGAAATTAGGAGCAAGAAAGTTTTGAAGTTTGATATTGCTGACAGCATTTAAAGATCTCCACTCTTTACCACTAAGAAGTGCTTTATGGGAAGTTTAATATTATCTTGATAAGTGATTGAGTGTGTTCACCAGAAATGAGTATAATCCTGAATTTTCAGCTCTGGAATCAGTGGCGTTACCAATGGAGGAAGGTCCTCCTCAATATGAACATGGATATTGGAGGCCAACCCACCACATAACAACTTTAATGCTGAGAAGGGAAGAGGAAAAAAACCTCCAACACTTAGGTGACTCAGGTACTTGGGCAAGAGAAACTAGCCACAGTAAATGAGATTAATTACTCCATTTCACTACATAAGGAGTTGTAAATTACAGGATACTGGCTGGTTAGACTTCTTCGACCCCCACCTGAGTTGGTTACAGATACATTTAGGGCAGAGTTTCACTTAACTGCCTATAGTTCATTAATCATTCATGAAAGAGGCTAGCTGTACCCCAAGACTGCTGGGACAAAACAAGTTTTCAGGCAGCAGTAATCATGTTCAGGTTCTCAATCTCCAGAGATTGCATCTCCTTTCTCCATCCTTTATTGCAATGAGCCAGAGCTTGGGAACATAATCAGCAGATATTCAGGTTTCGTCGTGTGTTAAATGAGCTACCAAAATTACTTGAAGTGTCACAAGTTGCAATCTGTTGTTGAAGGGAAATCAAAGAGGAAATTAAATACTTTCATTGTAATTGGGACTGAGCAGTGAGCAGGTTCATTGTAATTGGGACAGAGCAGTGAGCAGAACGGGCTGAATACAGCTATTGAGCTGGAGATACAGGAATGTAAGAGTGGTCCCCAGAAATGTATCTTTTTTCTTTTTTTTAATCTCGTTGGAACAGAATTGCTCCATAAACTGCTGGGCTTGAAGGCATTTTTGGATAAGACGCAAATGAGAACTACTGCAGAGCTTGGAAGATTGTCGTGGAGGCAGGCACTGCAGGCTGACTATGGATGCATTTTCCTATACTTCATCCACAGCACGCTTTGGCAAATGAAAGCCAATAAATTGACCTTTGGCAAAGTCAGACATTCTGCTTTCCACTTTCCCTGCCCTGAGGATTAATCGCTGTTATCGTGAGAGAGCTCAGTTACAGCAACTGTATGGAGTTACACCAGTTACACCAGAGGCTTCACTGAGATGGCGCAGGTGTACACGAGGTGAGAATTTGAACCATTTCTTTGGTGACAGTGTACCAATATGTACCACCTGTGCATGAGTAAATTGCGTTGCTTCCAGAGCATCTTGTTCATCTTCCTTGGG